AGTAAATTTCCATTCTTTGGAAATTAGTAGTCCAGTCCCACCCCCTCTCCCTGTGTGACGAGGAGTGTGGGAAAAAGAGAAATTAGCAGAAAGAGTAGCATGTGTAGCAGTGTCCTCCGGCCTCAACCAGGTCTCAGTTAGAGCCATGAGATTATAGTCAGAATATGTAGCTATGGAGGTAATAAAATCTGCCTTGTTAACAGCTGATTGACAGTTCCAGAGGCCCACGGAGAGAGAGAGTTGTGAAATAGCAGATACATGTATTGAACGAAGGTTGTGAGGATTACGCCTGCAGCGTACCTCCCGTGTTTTGCGAGTGTTAGTAGTGTAGTATTATCATACACAAATTGTACTTAAGCGATTGTACGCAGTTGTATTTAAAAATTTAATATCAATAAATTTTCTCTGAACCACCAGCAGGTGACAGCCTTTGTACTTTTATTTCGAGTGCAGATTGTATAAGTTTGGACACACTTTCTCATTCAAAGAGTTTTCTACCTCTTGAAGCTCACCATGAGCAAAAAGTGGCTGTATTGAAAAACCTAGAATATGACATATTTTCAGTTGCTTCACACTTTTTTGTTATGTATATAATTCAACATGTGTTTAATCATAGTTTTAATGCCTTCACTGAGAATCTATAATTTTTATAGTCATGAAAATAAAGAAAACTCTTTGAATGAGAAAGTGTGTCCAAACTTTTGGTCTGTACTGTATATAGTTAAAAATATATATATTTACTATTTTCCCAAGTGTATATAACTACAACTGTAAGAAAATACCAGCATTCGGTACATACTTCTAGTATTATCTTTGCTTGAAAAGACCCAATCTAATCCTGTTTATATGAAATGAGCCTGTTACCGAGCAGGTTTGAGCTACCAGAACTGTTGCTGTGACAACAACTCTCGGATAAGTTTTGAAGAATGAAGTGATCCTGGATCATGTCAAGTCATCAATAACCAAATCCAGCAACTGAGGAATCCATATACAAAGAACAGACCCTTCATCTGTTTCCAAAATATATTTTACAATAACCTAAAAAGTAGCTAGAACAAGTCATGTTTGAAATTCTGACTAGACTCTAAACTTGTACACAAGCATTTGTGCAGCAGCTTTAGCTGGAATTTATTGTCTGTGTGGATGAGAGAGAGGGTCTCTGGTGATGTTCAAGGTTCTCCACCAGATTTAATAAACAAACACAGAGCTTACAGACCGAGGCAGACTGGCTCCCCATGGAGAGTGCAAATACAGCCTCATTTTCCAAGCACAAAAAGAAAGACAGCCATCTCTAAAAAGCTGTTCGCAGGGGAATCAAAGTGAAACGGATTTCAATCATTTTTCTTTTAAATCATTATACGCATATACAATTCTGATTTATGACAATATAGGCAAACTATATAAGACATACAAGTTTATATTTGGATTTCACATATATAAAATATATGTCATATAATTCAAAATATTGCGAAAATGGGCATTCAATTATATATGTTCAATTATATTGGCTATACTTGTATAAATGTTCATTCATGGCCACATATGAACATATAATAACATATAACATATTTGAACATATTTGTAATTCAAAAAATATATGTAAATGGCAAATATCTTGAAATATACAGTCAAGCCAGAAATTCCTCATGAATAATTTCATTTTTAACTGTATGTTGCATTAATGACATATATTTTATGTATGTTAAATCCACACACAAAACTAATATGTCATATATGTAATATATGACATGTAATATATAATGCATATATTTCAATAAATCAGATTTCAAAATGGGTACCCTTGCAAGTTGCAACAAAATATGCAGCATTACATCACCAAATTATAGACTCAAAGCAGGACTGTAGGGGAAAAGTGTGCCATCTGGAATAGGGTCTTAGTCATGAGTGACCTTAGCTGCATTACTCAGTGTATTGGTCTGGATCTGGGTCCTTGCACATGGTCTCGCATACTGTAGAACTACAGCTTATTTACAGCTTGCCTCGTGTAATCACCCATTTAGACAGGAAGAGATGGTCTGATTGAAATGTAATGCAATTTACAGATTACTGTACAAAGGTAATGATGACATGCAGAGGAGGAGATGAGCTGTTTATTTTATTTCCCTGGAAATGATTGAACATTGTAAACTCCTATAAAGCCTATCCAAGGTCTTCTTTTAGTGAATACAAAAAATTATATCTTAACAAATGTACAAATTGTTTTTAAAGATATGGGAAACGACACAATACATTTTTTTATAACATGAAGATGTTTACATCTCAAATTTAGATAATTTACAATTTCCTCTGTGATTAATACCAGTCAATTGCTATTTAACATTTGAGTAAAATTCTTACACTCTCTTATTCAATCACTTATCGGATGAGAAAAAACATATTCAAGCACAACTAAATTATTTCCTGATTATATGTTAAAGTTTTATTAAGTGAAATGATATTTGTGCAACATTAGTAATGCCACTATTATCTTTAATCCAAAACAACATTCCTTCCACACATGCAGGCACAAGCTGACTTGTTTGATTAAAATGGAGAGAGATAGAGAGAGAGAAAGAGAGCGAGAGAGAGATAGAAAGAGGACGATTATGTTGATTTATTCATCATAATGATGTTTGTGCCAATCCTGGATGCTGCATGCAACATAAAAACACAAGATTCCATTCATGTATTTAATCTCATTGGAAAATATTGACTTTCAATAAATTTCCAACATCTGACATAAATGATTATTTGACTATTATGTTCTAGACTGTTGTGAATGGGTTCAGGACTGTTTGCAGGCTGTGGATCAAAGAAAATAATGTTTTAAATAACAGCCCATTGTTTTTTGTTTGATATAAGCTCATTGTGTCATTAGAAGCCACATCATGTATTCATTTAGTTTTCAAAAAATTATATATATATATATGTTCAGCAGAAAAAAAATAACTCTAAAAAAGCAAATAGCGAGTAAATGATAATTTTTGGTGAACAATCCTTTTAAGAAGTAATAAGTGTATCAAATGAATATAAATTAAATGCAAAATAAGAAATGAGACACCCTGAAAAACTAACTCTAAGCAGCTTCTGGCATAAGAATGTAAGCATGAAAAGTGGCCCCGTTGGATGCCACTGAAGTAGCAGAATGACAGTGATGATTAGGATCAGACACGTGTCTTACCATCTTTTTTTCTTCATCTATTCCTCAAAAATATCAATGAATGTCTTCCTTCAAAATGACAGTAGTTACTTTCAAAGTGAGCTGCCACTCTGGCTGGCAGATAAAACAGAGATCTTTTAACTCTTTCACTCCCAGCATTTTTTTAAGTTGCCAGTTACTACATTTTTGATGATTTTCACCTAAATTTAACAGCCCTCACAGAACCAGCTACCTGATTTTAAATATTTGTAATACAACAAACTTCAAACGAAACATCTAAAGTACCCCATTATGATTTTTCACATATTGAGCTGCATAATAAAAATCTAAGAGCATGGTGCAGATCATCTATGAGCTGGATTCCACCAAAGCTCTCTAAAGTGAAGTAGGTGTGGAAGGAGGTAGCGGCTTTTATGGTTATGTAAACAATAATAATATTTTATATTATAATCCTTACATTTTTCATATTTGAATAAATATGTATGTGCAGCTGCACATCCCTTTGTGTGTAATACGCAATGCATGTAGCTGGTCAATGGCATGGTCTAATTCAGCTGCCTCAAAACAACAATTCGCAATAACACACCTCCTTTACAGACAGAAATGGGCGCAAATGCAATTGCTATTTAAACAACGTAGCTCAGGATGTGAAAATGATACCTGCACTGGGCTGAACTAGCAAAAAAACACTTCTGATAACTCCCTGGACAAGCCTATGTAGGTTTGTAACAAATCTGTATAACACAAATCAGGGCAGAGTAGAGCTCTCAAAGAGTGGAAGTTTAGAGAGACCAGGTCTTTGAACGAACCATGAGAAAATAAGTGATGCCTGAGAAAAATGCTTATATTAGAAGAAAAAAGAATTAGAAGTTGCAAAAACCTCTAAATACCATCTGAAATTTTCTTCTAATATTAGCGTTTTCTCAGGCTCCTTTGTCCTAATTCAAAAATGTCACTTTTATAGCAAAGTTCCCATCCCAGTTTTATAGCAAAGTTTCCATCACTTTTAACATAAAATAACTGTACATGGACATACTGTAAAAATGCTCAATGTAAGAGAAAAGTACTGATGGCACTGAGAGGTTTTTGCATCTGAACTCATATATATATATATATATTCATATATATATTTATACAACAGTTCTGTCTGGTTCTTGAATCTGATTGGCTGATAGGCGTGCAATATTCTGTAGATAACAGCACTGGTCCAGCCTCTTCACCCTTCACCCTTTTGTATTATTCCACCCACATACAGCAACAAGCAGAGGTCACTCTACAGTTTGACAAATATTGCTGCTGTTGGACAACATAATGTAATTTTGAGGCTTTTTAGTCAAAAATGTTGTTGTTTTGATTGCAAATATGTAGTTTATGTATAAGGATAGTGCCTATTTTAAAAATATTTATAATTTCTGAGAGACAGAGCGCTTCAGTGGCTATTAGCCTGTCATTAAGCAGAGCAAAGACGGTTGCTGTTGTCCATCCACAAAATGTCGGCAGAGACCACATTAAAATCCCTTAGATTAGGAAAAACCCATCATAATTTTAAACTACAGCTGATCAAATCATTATAAAACTGGTGAGTGACTTTTTCAGTTGATCTCTCCCTTTTGTATGTTGTAGTGCTGTATTTATACCATAGTAATTGCTGTGTATTGACTGCAGACTAGTTCAGTAAACAGAAAGAAAGGAAAAATGCCTGAATGTGTTCAGCGTTTTTCCTTTACAAAGACAACAGTTTTATGGTAGTGATTGTGTTGTTTCGCAATTAAAACTGGCATCCAAATAGATATTCAGAAGAATTCAGAGATGACTGAATGACAAATGTTGCTGGACTGACCTGTCTGTCTTCTTCTTCTCATCTTCCAGTGCTCGGAGTGTATGCTGCAGACGGTCTGTCAAGATCTCCAGCTCCTGGGTCAACTTGTACTCCTCACGAAACTGCTCCCCAAGTAACACAAGGTCACGGGTGGCATCATGAAGAGGGATGTCACTCAGGTAAAGCCCTCTCCTCGTCAGGTCATCCAGATTCATAACACTGATATATGTAAATCACAGGACACTGGATCAGGCCCATCAATTAAGAAGTCAAAATGTCAATTAGAAAAAAGTTTATCTGCAAAAGAATCTAAATTAATAAAACATTTCTGTAAGAAAATATTTCCAGCACATGTATTTTAATAAGTTGTCCAAGTTCTGTGAGCACGCCATGGGGATTATTGCTGTTTCTTAAAAAAAAAAAAAAAAAAATCAATAAACGATTCAATCTAAACCAGCAGGAAGGACACAGATTATTCTAGCAGTCATGTTTGCCAGTGAAAGAGTGTCTGAACCAAGTGACCTGTTCATTTTACTGTAAGTGGACTCATCTCATCTCAGACAGACACTAGCATGAGATAAGGTATTAGCAAACATAGTGCTTGAAATGGAAAAAAAAAAAACTCCCCTGGGATTTGGCTTTTAAGCTGCATATAGAAAGGCTGGAATGTGAACATTTTAGATAGTGGCCCAACTGCTGCTTATAACTCCTCCTTTATAACAATAAAAACATTGCTAACCATTTTTTGATCTAAGAAGCAATGGACAAAAATGAACATATTGGATAAATAACAAAAACATTTTGTATAAATGAATGACATGTCCACATGCACTTCGAAAACTGAAAATGTCTCTTAAAATTTGAATCTATGTTGTTGTCCTTAATATATAGTCAAGTTGATTTAGTCATATTTTTACAATGAGAAAGAAAGAAAGAAAGAAGGAAAGAAAGAAAGAAAGAAAGAAAGAAAGAAAGAAAGAAAGAAAGAAAGTAAGAAAGAAAGAAAGAAAGAAAGAAAGTAAGAAAGAAAGAAAGAAAGAAAGAAAGTAAGAAAGAAAGAAAGAAAGAAGGAAAGAAAGAAAGAAAGAAAGTAAGAAAAAAAGAAAGAAAGAAAGAAAGAAAGAAAGAAAGAAAGAAAGAAAGAAAGAAAGAAAGAAAGAAAGAAAGAAAGAATATAAATTCAAATTTAAACCTCGGGTATGTGGTAACATTTATTTTTTTTTTGCCCTTATTTTTTTATCTACCTTGGCGAGCACAGGAATAGGATGTTCTCCGTCTCAGGAAGTGAGATCATTTGGCCCTTTAGTCTAAGGCAGCTGATCTCTGTTCCTGTGAGTTCATCTTCATTCTCCGCCGTCTCTACATTTAGCAGGCCCTCCTACATGAAAGCAAAACCACACCTTGTGTCATGCGGTTTAATCACAATTTTTTCATATATTTTACAAGCATTGCAGTCCACCTGTATTGCTGCATCTTATGTAAATGTGTGATTTGCACATTCCAGATTATTGATTGTTTTCATTATTGATGTAGCAATGATTTTGCTATCTCTATGATAGTCTATGATGTGTTCTTCATTGGAGTGAATAATATGTTTCTGGGTTATTATGTTGTTTGTTCTATTCTTTTAAGCCTAATTGATTCAAAATATCTTATTTTTGTGTTCAATGGGTAAAAGAAACTCTAACAGATTTAGAATATAAAAGGTTGAGAGTGAGCAAATGATTAAAAAACTTTTATTTAGGGGGAAATTATTCCCTTAAACAACCATATTGTATATAACCATATTCCATATTAAACAAAAACAAGATTTATGAGACATATCATTAAAGAAGGCTTCATATTTACACATGATTAATTACCAACTGACCCAAACCCTATTGAAAGCTTCTGGGGAATAATGGAGTACATTTTTCAGAGTGGCAAAAAAGCAGTATATGAACCACACATTAGAGTTTGCGGTTTGATATCAGACGGTACGTAATGTGGTTTGGGCAGACAGACCTTACTCCGCAGCACAAAGACAGTGTTGATGTGAGACAGGATGCCATGGAAACTGAAGTCTATGTGCGGCCGAACCAGAGAGAACACTGAGGACAGGTTACAGACGCCAGGCTGCAGCTGGAAGAGGACACAATTTGACATTTACATCCATCACATGTTACATATATCTCTGATTTTATATTTATAGCAGAAACCATAGTCCCACTTTATTTTAAGTGGCCTTATTGACCTTATTTTTTCAAGTAGGAGTGGGCGCAGCCATTGAAACCTAATTGTCCTGAGACTTCCGCTCTCATGCTGCTTGATGTTGCAAATACAGGTATTTTCTTATTTTATTATTTGGGGCTGCACCATATTGGAAAAAAAACTGAAATTGCCATTGATTTTTTTTGTTATAGATACAGTTTCGCAAGATGGTTTGAATTGCACAAATTGAGGGTTTTCTAGGCAATCAGGTACAGAAATTGAATAATCAAATTGCAAATAAATGCTTTTCATACTTTGCTTTGTCTCATTTCTAGTCTGAATATCTAAAAATTCTTAGATCAAATAAAAATATGGTTTAAATAATCTTATTTTTGCTTTGAAATATAGATATTTGGACTAGAAACAAGACAAAAATTCTTATTAAGTAAAATATGTATTTTTGCATAAATCGCATAAATAATTAATTTTTAATGCAATTAATACAATTCAACTTTGTTATTTCAAACATCAAGATTGTTTGTGTCCAAATGTTTTAAACTCTTGAAATGCTCAGTCACAAGCCATAAAAACACATACAAATGCTAAACTTTTAACACCCTTATGGTTAAAATTAGTAGTGCCTCCTGGTCAATACAATTCAGGCTCAAGATTGCATATTTTGCGATGTGATGGTTTTTGATGCACACACTTGCAATATTAATGCGGAATATGCACAATATTCTGTGCAGCCCTAACATTATTAAGATTTTTTTTGTATTTAGTTTTTTTATTGTATTTGATTACATTCATTTCCTCTATAGGCAAATGAAATGGAAGTCCTAAAACAATCACTAAAAAGAGTTAAGAATAAGGTGAATACTCTACATGGTTGTTGAATGCTTGATTCTCATTGGCTGATGAACATTCTAAGGTGTGATATTTTCAGGACCACCTAAAGTAGTTCTAGGCAGTTTTTTTTGTCTGTCCACAGCACATAGCAGCAAAAGTCACTTAATAGCTGGGCAAAATTTATTTTTGAATAGACAAACCTGTGGCAAGACTCTGAAGATGGCGTTGCCACACTGTGTTAGCATGAGGTCCTTGTCGAACATCAGGTGAAAGGGAAAAGCCTTGCAGAAGGTGTATGGACTGATTCGTGTCTCTTGAGTCCCATTCTCCTCAAAACCATCCAAGTCTTCATAAAACGCCTCCTCCTCCGAGTCCTTCTCCTCAATCAGGAACTTAATGTGATCACATTCTTCGCTCTTCGGCTGAATGACCTGGTACACCCCCACAAATAACAGATTTAGAATCTCATTTGGGGATTTGCATTTCCTGTTATTAAACAAGGAACCCCACGGTGTGAAGAAAACAGAAAGAAAATGCTGGAAGTAATGCTGAAAGAAAGTGATGGGATGATAAAACTAAACCTATACTGAAATAAAATAAATCATAAACAAGAAAATACGTTTTTACTTATTTGAGATGATCTACATGAGCCTGTAAGTACATTTGCTAACACAAGTAATACAAAAACATTCCTGTTGGTGGTAGGGATGGGTGAGGAGGTTGTTGGTTGGGTGAGTGGCAGCGATCGCGGATCGCTGGGTGGTTGGCGCGAGCCCTTGATAATGTCTCTGGAGCCCCCCTAAATGTATGGGCCCTTAGAATGGTCCTAACTCTCCAACCCCTTTACTTTTACTCTTTACTCCTTTACGTTCATGGATAAGGAAACGGTGTTGTGTGCATACATATTTCATTTTGTTAGTTAAGCGCAAAGATTTGTTTCAAAACTAGTTCTAAATTCAGTTCTAATTTCTAGCAAACAAAAAAATTAACAATAATAACGAAGTGTGGTTGAAAAACTGAGTTATATTCAAACAAACATCCTATTCCTAGGTGACACACACTGTATCCATAGTGACGCATACTGTATGTCTCCAAAACCCAACAAGTGGACAAATCTAAACTTGTTTTTATTGAAACAAATATAAATATGCATATAATAAATATTACTGCAACCAATAATAACATTATACAAATGTAAATTGTCATGAATAAACTGAAAAAAAGCCCCCTGAGATGAAGAAGGCATGAGGTTGTGGTTTTTATATTTAAGTAGAAAAAAAATTGTAACATTTCCATCCTTAATTTTTTTCATATGTAAAGATATTTGTGTATTGCTGTACATCTTGTGTGTATTAAGCAAAGTGTAAGCGTTTGAACCCACATAGGCGCATAACTAACGCGCTCTGTGGTGGACTTTAGATGGTTAGATTTTCGATGGTCAATGGCGCAATCTATTTCAGTTCCTCAAAATAGCAACGCGCCAACAATTAACTTTAACACACCTCTATTTTAGACCAGCATGCCCATAAGTCCACGAAGTGGCATGAATTGATTTGCTATTTAAACAATGTGGTGCAAAATGTGAAAATTAGGGCAGCACTGGTCTAAAAAAAAGCAACAAATTGCGGCAAACATGTCTTGCGCCTTATTGCAGTGGGTGTATGATAGGGTCTAAAGTGTGAAAAAAAAAACACAATTTCTAACCTTCTTTGTTGTCTGTGTATGCAGAGATCCCACAATATAAATGCTATAAATTTTATGACTAAATTAAAATTTAAACAACAATGTGGATCAAATATCACAAAGGCTTTAACAGAAGTATTATACAATGTTAGATTAAAGATTAGATTAAATGTTAGATTTCAATCCTCAAAATGTGGCCCCAGTCATTTCCATGGTAATGCGTTCAATGTAACCTTGATTTCAAGGAGTAAAAATTATTTTGGTTGTAAACAGATTTATACTTTCCAAAATCACTATAAAGAAGACAAAAGACAGTGTCGAGTGGTCTAATGGTCTCTTGTGATTCTTTTGTTATGTGTTATGTGTTAAGTGTCCAAAGTCAGCAATCTCATTTCTCAGTCCTTGCGTAGCATGTAGACTAAGCAAAGAGAAATTACAGCTTTAAGTGGCTCTGAGTGTTTAATCATCAATGTTTAGCATAATAAAATATGAAAATAGTTTTTTTTTTTTTTTTTTTTACACAGAGCAGAGCATTGCATCGGTCTCTCTGTTTTCCATGAAACCTCCCTTTTTTACTGTAGATATAATATCATGAAGCCGCATGCAGAGAAGCTGTTGTTTTTTTCTCTCAGCTTGAAGTTGAGCCCATTTTACTGACGTCAAGTCTCTGTCTCTTTGCCCTGCCATCTCCATGACGACGATAGCTAACATTTTTTCAACAAGTCAGGTGTTGCGTTTCGAGGGTCTGTCGATTGGACTCCCTCATTTCACACTAAGCCCAGATGGAGAGAGAGAGAAAGAGAGAGAGAGAGAGGAATGGAAAGAGCAGTCTGCTGTCTAGGGGATGATTAGCTCTTATTGGGTGAGTGGGATTTATTTGGAAAATAAGGCAGAGACTGAAAGCGGTGACAAAGGATAAACCGCAGGGAGTTCATCATAATGTTGTTTATCGATGCGTCCTGCTCAGTAAGAATGAGACTAAACCTACCTCTGGTTTACATCAAATTGTGTTTTGACCATTGTAGAATTTAACACTTGCACTATAATGTCTGTTTTAAAATTATATTCTGCATTTAATTTGGAATCAGATTAGTCTCAAAAGAAATTCATGCAAAAGACACGATGTACACATGCTTAGCCAAATTCACGTGCATAAAACCAAATTCATAAAAATATTTATTTATATTCTCAAAAAAATTTCACGTGCACAAAACAAAAATACATTTTCATAAAATACGTTTCACAAATGCAAAACACTATTTGCAAATGTAATAGAGTGTACAAAAAGTTTTGAATGTTTAAAACTTGCGAGTTTAGAACTCTGCGCTTCATTTGCACAGCTTGTTTACATTCATTGGATATAATCAGGGCCAGAGTGGGACTCCTTTTCAGCCCTGGAGTTTCAAGCCTTCAACCGGCCCACATCAGTTCACGACTGACTATATTAAAATAAGGTCATTTCCAATACAGTTTCTAATTACACTATCAAGTCTTTTTAAAGAAAACAGCTGCTTTAAAACTTCAAATGTTCAACAACCTTACAATTTTATATGTCTTAACAATAAGAAGATGGATGGATAAAAAGAGTGAGGCTATGGTCAAATAATTAAACAAATGAAAACAAGTGCGACTGCTGCTTTCTCCGTTTGCCATGCTGGAGAGAAACAGTCTGCGCAAATGAAGCGCAGAGTTGGTGTCATTGACTACAGCTCTCATCTGATTTGCTGAAAGGTACGACTTGCCCTGCCTCTGCCAGGAGAGTCTCAAAAATACACACACACGTATCCAGGGGGAGTCGTACGTGAAAGAGGATTAGCACATTCTCATTCAGGATGAACTCGCAAGTTTTAAACATTCAAAACTTTTTGTACACTCTTATACATTTGCAAATCGTGTTTTGCATTTGTGAAACGTATTTTATAAAAATGTATTTTGATTTTGTGCACGTGAAATTTTTTTGTGAATATAAATAAATATTTTACGCACTTAAATTTGATTTTATGCACGTGAATTTGGCTACGCATGTGTACATCGTGTCTTTTGCGTGAATTATTATTGAGTCTAATCTGTCTCTATAATTTAAGCATTGATACAGTTGAAGTCAGAATTATTAGCCCTCCATTTTTTTTCTCCAATTTCTGTTTAAGAGAAGGAAGATTGTTCAACACAATTTTAAACATTTATATTTATGCATTTTGCAGATGCTTTTATCCAAAATTACACCCTTGAAGACACACCCGGGGAGCAGTTGGGTGTCCATAGTTGCTCAAGGGAATCACCTCAGCTGTGGTATTGAGGTGGATATTCCCACCAACAATCCCTGCTGGTACCAATACTCAAACCTACTGTATGACCTTTGGATCACAAGTCCAACTCTCTCACCATCAGGCCATGGCTTGCCTATATTAGTGCTATGACTGTATTTACTAGTATTCAGCTTAAAGTTCAATATATAGGCTTAACTAGGTTAATTAGATTAATAAGGCAATGGGCTCTATGCACAGCTAGTGTTTTTCCACCAATGTTTTATGTGACTATTTTCAATTCCATAAGGGTCCTTTTACAGCATTGATGTAATGTAATTCAGATATAATCAGTTAAATAGACTTAAGCATTCATTTGGTTGTTAAAGCGTAAAAAAAGACGAAAACCATTTAAACGCTGCGCCGTCATTAGCTGTGTGATTTTATATGGATGACAATTCACCGGAAGCCCTGGCTGGCTGACTGAAATTAAAAGTCTGTGTGCAAATACCCCACGTCTGTAGCCATTCGAAAAAGAAAAAAAATGCTTAAGTGGGCTAAAAATATTGAAAAAAATATATAAAAATAAGAATAAGAAAAATAAGAAAAAAAATATAATAGAAATACTGTGAAAAATTCCTTGCTCTATTAAACATTATTTGGAAAATATGCAAAAAAAACAACTGTAAGCTGTTGCATATGTTGAGTAAACTATTTGTGGCATAAGGTTACTTTTTAAAAAATGCTATCGTGCTAAATTACCATTTAAACAGTTTTACAGCTCAAATAATACAAAGGTTTTAATTTACAAAATATTAAATGTAAAAAAATAAATAAATATTAAATGTCTTTAAAGCATTTTATTGAACTAAATAAAAAATAATTAAACTAATTGACTTACTCAAAAATGTACTGTTTTGAAGTAGTGAAATGTAAAGAATGTTTGAAATGCTTCAAAGTAATTCTACTGAAAATGACTAATTTTTTTAAAGCACATTTTGTTCATTTAGTGCCCCCAAGATGAAAAGTAGCCACTAATTTTGTAGGAAAGGCATTGCATCTTGGTGTCTGCATCACATTACATTCATAATAATGATTTATGTACATAAATATATATATGTATATGTATATTAAATGTAAAGATTCTACTTTAAAGTTTTTGGTGAAAATGTCAAATTATGGTTACAGTAATGTTCCAGTGCCATTTATACAGTATGTAAAATGGAACTAACACACTTTTCCTCTGTGTATTTACACACTTTTCCTTCCTGTATTTACTAAAATGAATAAAAGAATAAGTGACAATATTACATTTTATTACAAAAAATGTATAATTGCAATTGATTTGTATTTGAGGGCTGCACTGTTATGAGTGATCCTTAGACTTTAATTTAATTAAATCCTTAGTATTTTAATATGTAATCAAATGATCTACAGAATGGATGATATATATGATGTAAATTATTATTAAAACATTTAGACAACATACATGCATGCGTGTGCATGTGTGTGCTGTGTGTGTGTGTGTACGGGTACATGCGCACATTTGTTTGTTTGTGTGTGCGGGTGTGTGTGTATGCATGCGTGTGTGTGTGTGTGTTTGTGTGTGTGTGTGTGTGTGTGTGTGTGTGTATGTGTCCGTGTCTGCTACAGTAAGTTTGCATCCAAAGATGCAAATAAAATTTATGCGCATAACTAGAATATCGCACATAAAACATGCGAATAAACCAGTGTTTCCATCCAAGTAGTCAAAGAGAACAAAATCATCACTTCCTAATGAACTGGCGCCAAATATCAACAGTGAAAACAAAATTTGCTGCGATAGGAAAACCTTCGTGAATATTTTCTTTGTTTAATAAATGACTAAATGACGCCTCACAAGACAATGCTGGCACACTATGAACGCATGGTGGCGTTAGAAGGCGTCAGACGTGGAGCACAGGCACGCTTGACAGTTCTGGAGATCATTAATGATATAATAACACTAATGCCGAGTTCAGACTGCATGATTTTGAAAGTAGTCATGTCACAGATGTTTTCATACTGCACGACTCTCTGGGCTAGCGTTTTGTCGCTGCTTTGTTTACACTACAGGATGGATTTGTAGGATGCATGACTTTAAAATAGGAAGAATCGCCGACAACATCGTCCAAACTATGTCTCACAACCAAAAACACGTAGTATATCTTTTGTTATTAACAACATAACGGGAAAGAAGCCTTTAGTGGGGTAGAAAATGTACATATCTGCTCACCTGGGCTTAAAGAGAATTAGCCATTTCTCCTTAACTTTCTTTTTTGACTCGGTTGTGGTATTGCTCACAAGATTTGAATCGCCAACAGCTACAAACATTTAACATGCCAAATATCTCACAGGCAATGATGACTCATCTGCGATTCTTTCAGATCACGTCTTTGATAGTTCACACTGTGTGATTGTTACTCGCGTGCACAAGTACCGATTTGCCCGTGATTTCGGGCATTTGTCGGCGATTTCTCAAAATCTGTCGGTTAGTCAAAATCGGGGCTAAAATCATGCAGTCTGAACTAATACTGAAACGGTTAAGACATTTTAGAATGACCAAAACGACATTTCAGATGTTTTACAATGTGCTCTGCCTGCTGGTTTGTCCATCCACACACATTTTATTGATCACATGATCTCTAATAACAAAATCACATAACATTTTTTAATGCGCATACTGGAATTTGCTTGGGAAAAGTGTTTCCATTATAGTTTATGCGCATCTTTTCTTATCAAATAAAAAGTTTATTCTGCTCAGATATGCGCATATGTTTTTTTGTGTTTTTGTGCATATGTTTATGCGCATCTTGGCATTTCCATCAACCCATTTTTTATGTGTATTTCCAAAATGAGCATAAAAATAGGTGGATGGAAACGTAGCTTTTGTTATATTTAATATGATTTTGTTGTGTATTAACTAATATGACCATATTAATCTACCAGGAAAATTTGTATGTGATCATGATCAATGCTCAAGCCAACCTTCATCTCAATCTCAGTTCCGTGAATCTGCTGTGCAACCGTCTTGATGATCCCTATGACGATGTCCTGAAGACCCTCTCTCTCAGAGTAATAGTGGAGAATAAGGTTGTTCCCCTTCTCTGCATCCGTGCAGCGGAAGGAGGGAGCACGCATGCCAGGATAGATAGTGCCCAGATGGTCATGTAATGCATCCAGATTCTGAAAGAGAGAACAAGATGATCTGAATGTGGTAATGCAAAGAGAAGATTTTTGCTTAGCCCGACAAAAAAATAAAAAATCCACATCCAGGCAGTCACATAGTTAGCAAAGTAAAAAGCTTTTATGCTAAGACAGGGTTGCATAATAACAAACACCACCATGTATCAACTCAAACGGGCAGAAAGTTCCATTAAATTTAATACATATGGCAAAAGGCAGTACTTAATTAAATTAAATTTATTAATATTTATATAAATATTCAATATTTAAAAACGGTTGAAAATATACTGCTCATTATAGTCTATTACAAAGTTGACTGGATATAATATGCGTCTGTAATTGTGTGAGTACAATAAAATGGATGTTAGACTGTGGGTATTCTGTGTGTACTCAAAATGTTATGTGTGTATAATACTGTACTGGAATACTGGGAATTTGAAAGGGAACGTGTATGGAAACTTTTTTCCCCATAAAAAAAACCTGAATTTTTTTTTTTTGTAAACAAACCAGCATTTAAACAGTTATAAATCTGAAAAATGTTTGGTGTTTGTTATAATTAGATCTGCTTTTGATGAAAATACTAAAATCAGTGTAAAATAAAATAATAATATATAATATTTATTTTTGGACATGGACCTTTTTGTCCACTTAAAAAAAGAAGATTATATTATATTATATTATATCATATTATATTATATTATATTATATTATATTATATTATATTATATTATATTATATTATATTATATTATATATATTTAATGATAAAATCACTTTTACTAAAACTATGTTACATGGAATGTTTGAAATAGGGAACAGTCAGTATTGCTTGTGCCACTTTCTCAACATTGCTACTGATGATTTTTGGCTGATAAAAACAGAAGCCTCTTACTTGTAAGAATTCACGGACATTGGAGCCCAACACTCGCAGGATGGTGTCGTACCCAGATTCCTGACAGAACTCAAAAAACATTTTCCCAAACATTTGCAAGATACCACCGGCATCCATTTCTATAAGAAAAGAAACCACATTTTTTCAATTACACTACATAATTTCACTATATTTTAAAGTTATAACATATAACGTGTGAGCTAAAAAGAAAAAAAGTTATTTATCCATCTTTAAAAACTAAAAAATCTAAGATAAACATTCTTACTTAGAACTTTGCTTGCAGCAGCCACAAGGTCATATGTTTTGGCATCTTCATAGATAATTCTGACCAGAAACTGTCCCTCTACATCAACCTGAGCCTCTCTCCTGAAATAAAAAAAAAAAATGAATGAATGAATGAATGAATGAATTAATTAATAAAGTAATTAATTAATTAAACAAAACAGATTTTGAAAAAGTAATTATTTTTTAATTATCAAATTAAAAACATTTTTTACACTTAAAATGTAGCTTATAGGACTCAAAATGATGACCAAATGGCAGTTCAGCCAAAAAGTCGCATTAGAATCATGAAGGGAAAACGCTTGTAAAAACAAAACCTAAAAATAGAAATAGAAACATCATTAATCACGTCTGGTACAGTGCACTGAGATACGTTGCTAACCTTGAGATAATACTGAACGCGGCTAAAAAAACGCTGCAGTGACTGAGTCCAACTACTTTAACATTGCCAGAACACAGAGTGAGACTCAAGCTCATGACTTGAGAATAAACAGGCTCTAAAACATATGTTTACCTTAAGAACAGCTGTGACTTGAAAAGACTGCTCTTAAAAGTCATGTCAAAGAGGAGGAAGTTAAATAAAGCTGAACTCTCTGTGCAATAGGAAAAAGTTGTACGCATATTATGACCTCACCCCACGACATTGTGTACGTGATTTCTCATGCTGTAAACTAATAAAAAAGAGCATATGGTAGTAATAACTGGGTTATTGATATCATAAACTCACATATTTGATCATATATTGTTTTTGCAAATGCAACAAATTTTCCACTTTTTAATGCATTTAGATAAAAATTCTGAGAATAAAATAGCAATTGCTGAAATTATATTTAATTTCCAAAGATTTCAAATGACATTTTTGAAAGTACTATACACAATGATGGTCACACACACACACACACACACACACACACACACACACACACACACACACACACACACACACACTTCTAAGTTAAAGTTAAAATCAAATAACTGTATATGCAGTTCTATTAAAACAAAAACATAAAATTATAAACAAAATTGAAAAAAAAAATCTTAGATAAAACATAAATATTTTTGAACTCACTTAATGTCCTCCCACACATCTGGACCATAATTTCTCAACACCAGAAGTTCCAACGCGTGGTTCACAAAACCATACTGTCAAAAAAAGACAAAAATGTACAGTTGAAAAATTCAAACCTAAAACATATTTATGTATCTATAACGTTACGTATACACGACAGATTTGACAGAATTAGAGATGAGTATTTGCCTTTTCGTTGTTTACATATTCAGCGTTCCTTCTATACAGACATACACTTGTGCTTTTTTTTTGCGTAAACGAAAACATGAGCTTTTCGGCCCTGGAATTCAACATTTAATCACACAATAATTTAATCACACGATCAATATTCCCCTATGAAACAGAATTGTAGTTTCGAGTAATGACTTAATTCCCTCGTTTTACACAGTCTACCGCAAGCTATAAAGCAAATATTTACGTAAATGGCGACTAGAGAATAAAATGTAGCGCATGTAAAACTGCATTCATATTATTGCTAACGTTACATACCATGTTTCGATTAATTCGCCAATCCCCGGTTTCTGATGTATTAAATCACTAAACACCAGCACTGACAAACTGTACAGCTGTTACGGATGAAACGACCATTCCTGAAACGAGCGCTATGTTATTGACAAAGGATGTAGCCAACGGGAGCGCGAGGATGCAAAAAGTACACACAGCTGGTTCTCGCATTTGCATTACGCTAGATCCCGGATTCAGAATTATACTACGTTGAAGGATCGGCTCATGAATATTGATTACGCAACATGACGTTTGTGTGGAGGACCATTCTGATTGGCTGTGAGTGAAACGTTAGTAGATGGGCGCCAATCAACTGCAGATTGAGACTCTTAATATGGTTGAAAGTTATGAATATTAATTAGGTTACGTCTTGTACACTCCGCTAAGGTTACCAAGCAACTCCAGCATGACCCTTTTAATATTCATGGACCAAGCAGCAAGTTGAATTCTGTCAGAAGATATTATCATTGGAGTTACTTAGACAGTTTGCAAGATTGTAATGAATCTAAATAATTAATATGGTTATCTTAGAAAAGAAGGAAAAAACATTTTAATAATAACCATAATATATATATATATATATATATATATATATATATATATATATATATATATATATATATATATATATATTACATATACATTCTAGTTTAACGGATTTAAACGGTTTCCACTTCTGAGATTTAAAAATATAATAACAATAATAAAAATACTAATACTACTAATAATAATAATAATAGTAATAATTTCAAATGATTTAAACGGTTTCCACTTTTGAGATCTAAAAATATAATAACAATAATAATCATAATAATAATAATATTAATAATAATAATACAAATAATAATCATAATAATAACAATAATAGGGCGACAGTAGCGCAGTAGTACTGTCGCATTACAGCAAGAAGGTCGCTGGTTCGAGCCTTGGCTGATTGAATAATAATACACAATCAAATTATTTAAACATTGTGTACTTATTTAGATTCAATTACAATTTAATTTAGCCAATCATAATCATTTAACAATTTTGTTTTATTACATGATTATTCGTAGAATGACGGTATGATTCATAATTAACTCCTTATTTGTATTTTCTTATATAAAACAATAAGTTACAACATGCTTCTGGCATATATCTGTATAGCTATATCCTCACTAATTATTAGTTGTCGATGTCTGGACAGTAGGCTACTATTTAAAATATGCATCCTTTTTAATTCTTCGTGTAATCCAGGGATTTCCAGCCCTCTTTCTTTGGCATTAAATATTCACCTGAAACCCTCCTGAGATTTTAAGTGTCAAAATAATATAAAAGTAAGCCAAAAGCAGTCGAAATACATTAGCTAAAATTAAATGACCTTTCTGTGTAATTTATAATCAGTAGAAATTTTAAGCAGTCCAGGTATATTATGATCTGTACTGATAATAATATTTTGTATTGCATGTTTTTCATTCATTCATTTTCTGCCGCTTTTCCGGGGCAGGGGGAGCAGGGGCAAGGGCAGCAGTCTTAGGAGAGGACCCCAGACTTCCCTCTCTACAGGCACTTCCTCCAGCTTCTCCGGTGTGATCCCAAGGCGTTCCCAGACTAGCTGAGATACATAGTCCCTCCAGCGTGTCCTGGGTCTTCCCCGAGGCCTCCTCCCGGTGGGACATGACTGGAACACCTCCCTAGGTAGGCGTCCAAGAGGCATCCGAAACAGATGCCCGAGCCACCTCATGTGACTTCTCTCGATGTAGAGGAGCAGCGGCTCTACTCCGAGCTCCTCCCGGGTGTCAGAGCACCTCACCCTATCCATAAGACTGTGCCCTGCCACCCTTGGAAGGAAACTCATTTTGAGCGCTTGTATCCAAGATCTTGTCTTTTTGGTCATGACCCAAATCTCATGACCATATGGTGAGAGTAGGAGCGTAGATTGACCGGTAAACTCCTTCTTTACCACAACGGACAAGTACATCGACCGCATTACAGCTGCCGCTGCACCAATCCACCTGTAAATCTCACGCTCCATCCTTCCCTCACTGGTGAACAAAACCCCAAGATAATTAAACTCTTACACCTGGGGTAAGGACTGTCCTCCAACCTAAAGATGGCAAACCACCATTTTTCCGGTGGAGCACCATGGCCTCGAACTTGGAGGTGCTGATTCTCATCCCAGCAAACCGCCCTAGTGCATGCTGAAGGTCCAAGTTTGATAAGGCCAACAGAATAACATCTTCTGCGAATAACAGGGATAAAATCCTTTGGTCCCCGAACCGGACCCCCTCCAGCCCAAGGCTGCGACTTAAAATTCTGTCCATAAAAACACATGACTCATGTTCTGTTAATGTAGACAGAATTTATAATCTTAATAAAATCAAAATTGATTATGTTTATTTTAGCACCTTTAGTCTTGACTAAGTAATGAACTAGTAAATCTGTGCAGGTAATCAGCTGAAAAATTAAATGTTTGTTATAAAAATCTAATTACAATCTAGCGGCTGCTCTTCTCTGATGATGCCAGTTAACCACGCCCCTTAAACCACTAGTTTGCTGCAAATGAAAGATGAAAGATAAGCAAAAGAAAACTCCACACAATACTGAATTGTTTCATTTGGAAATACTTCATCACACTGAAATAAATATACTGTACCTGCAGCATCAGCAAGTTCCAAGTGACACACACTTTATTATAAAATACTTTAGCATTCTCTCTTTCACTCTTTTTAAGAAAAAAACTAGTTGCATTGAAACATCACCATTAAACAAACCAAGCGTTGAGTAAAGCATGTTTATTACAGATCTATTACAATACAAAAAGTCACAATGTTTACTTTAATGATGATTGTGCTCGGGCTCTGCCGAGGTGAAGCTTTACTGTGTGCTTAATACAATGACGTGCTCTATAAAGATTATTGAACTGATGCTTATCGTAACTTTTATAGACGATTATGAACGATTCACTCTCTGTACTAGCATTTAAAGAAACAGTCAGCCATTGTAGATACGAACGTGGATGACATTCTTTGCTTTTTTATTTTTGGTATACACTAAGGAAGTCAAAACAAACTAATATACTTTATTAAAACAAAATATGATCTGTCTATCAAATTCTCACACCTAATTCCGCTGTGAGGAAACCTGTGCAAAGCAAAATCCTTCCGATGAGTGTTACTTGATAGTTTTTTGGCAACATTCAACAATTGGATGATAAACTACCTCTGGCTCAACTAAAAAGATACACAGAGTGACAGGCATTATTAACCCACTCCTTCCAGCATTCGTCGTATGAGAGGTTTTTACACTTTCATCCACTGGGCTGAGTTTCCTCTGGAGCTGCATTTGTCTTTTGATCGTGAGCCTGGAGGAAGTAACAAACTCCAGGGATGTCAGTGGGGAAGTTGGGCGGAAGATCCTCTCTTGTCCGGGGGATGAGAGTAAACTCTGGACAATCTTTTAACAATCTGAAATAGAAGAGAAGTAACAAACTGTCCTAAAGCACACATGCAGATGCCCTGTAAAACTGCTAGCATTAAATCAGCAACACAAAAAAAAAACACAAAAAAATGTACTTGTTTTGACTCAGCAAGAAATGATTTAATGAGGACTTGTGTCATTCTTCCATAAACATAAAAAAGAACCATTTGGAGGAATGTTCCTGTTCTGTGTTTCTGTAAAAGAATTGTACTTGCTTCTACTGACACTCCATTGTACAATAACGAACTCACTGAATATGTTATTAATGTAAACACATCACATTAAAATAATTACTCAGATAATGGAATAAATATCCTACACAGAATACAATTTCTCCAATTAAAAAATCGAAACCAAAAACCAAACAGAAAAATTAGATTTACTTAAAATTGAATATTTTTGTTCCTATTATGCATATTATTTGAATAAAATGCATAATAATAAAGGTAAAATATTATTTAGTTACAATTCAATTTATTGTGTCCTTGTTACAGCATAACCGTTCAAAGTAACCACTGAGTAATATTAATTTACATGTACTCAGTAACTATAGGGTAAAAGTTAGGATGAGCAGGCCTGTAACCAGGGGGGGTTTCAAGTGGTTCAAAAAAACCACCCCTCACTGAAAAAGGCCCAGAATTCGTCCCATACATGAGCTCATTTGTCCTATTTTGACTGCTATGCCAAAATAAATTGTGAAAATAACTCATTGAAGATGGTTGTTAAATACATTTACATTATTACATTATTATTTTTTTATTAAATTTGTTTTTTATATTAGCGATATGTTTAAATTTTTTATTATTTAATTGGCCAAATTATGACAGGAAAGTTGAATGTGCTGACCAGTTTGTCATTTGCCTACTGCCTAATGTCAGTAAAATGCAGTATTTAAACCTCATAGTTAAATAGAAAATGAAGCGGATAACTGCAAAAAGGTCCACTTTTTGAGAAAAAAGTACCACCCCTTTCGCCAAGCTGGCTACGGGCCTGATAAGGGTTAGTTGATTGTACTTATGCATAATTAATATAGTAAGTATATTGACGTGTAACAAGACACCCCTAAAATAAAGTGTTACCTATTGTTTAAACAATTTTGCTGTAAATTCTAATTGCAAAATAAACAGGTATACAGGGCTGCAATTCCCAAAAGCATTTTAAGCCTAAGTGGATCTTAAAAATGATCATGCAACATATCCTAATTAAGGTCTGTTTCTCAAAAGTATAGTAACTTAAGTAGTACTTCAAAAATATTGTAGATCTACGTGTTCTGGAGTAATTGTTAAAGTTAAACTGTAAACTAATTAGTTGCTTTACTTTAAGAAGTGGGTAAAACTGTTGTCTTAAAGGAACAAGTTGAGAACCTAGTGAGTAAATATGTCGTAACTTAAATTGAATTACTTTTAATAATTAATTAATTAATAAATAATTTTAAGGCAATGGGTTTAAAATGAATTATGAATCATCTGTACTGTAAATGAATTCAAATAAAATTAACCATTCCAAAAAATGGATTTGCTCACTTCAAAAAAAAATGTGTTATGTGTTATTCACTTTTTACAGTAAAGTCAACTAATCACTTTAAAAGCAGTAGGTGTTTAAGTAAAGTATACTAATCATTGTTTTCACGTACTGTATGGGGAAAATCAGCAGATTACATTTGTAAGTGCAGTCCTACAGTATACAAAACTCTGAAATATGACC